TAGGGTTGCCAAGTCTTACCTTTAGCTGGAGTGGGGCGCCTTTCCCGGAAGCGGGGCGCTTTTCCCAAAGCGCCCACGCACCGCAACCACATCACCCGGAAGTGACATGATCATGCTGGGCACGCTGGGGGCGGGGCCACTACCATCCGAGGGAAAACCATATAGTTTTCCCTCGGATGACCGTGGCCCCGCCCCCAGCGTGCCCAGCGTGGTTGTGTCACTTCCAGGTGACGTTCATGTCGGGGTGGAGTTCCTCCAGGGCCCAATCCGCCGGCGGTAGGGAACGGGCCTCTGGGGTGGGGGGTTCCCCGCCCCCCGGGGGGACTTGGCAAGCCTAGTATGTACCGTGGATGGGCCCTGATGCTTTCTCACTGCCCCAGATAGTCCCCTCGGTGTTCTGCTCCTAAGTCCAACTGTGGCTTCCATAATCAGAATTCTGGAGGTAAGGAAAGCTTGTACTCCTGTGGCACGTGTATCGGTTTTTCCTTGGTGAACAAGGAATTAGTTTAGATGCCAATTCCTGACACTTGCTCATCGCCAGTATGAAATCCACGCTGAACCTGACACTTCATCTGGTGCTCTGGCTCTTTATTAGAAAGACAGGTGATGAATTGTGGCCTGAGTTAGATCATTGGAGGGAGGGGGGGAACCTCTCCTGTTTACTAAAAGAAAATATGTGATGAACTCATCCTTGGATTAATTCTTTTTTTTCTCCCCCTGCATGGGTTATTCCCCCTCTCCCGCTGGATTAAATTGTTTGTTCAGATGCCAGGCGGGCACGTAACGTTCATATTATTACGGCACAAAGGAAAAATGGGTGCGAATGGAATTATTGTGCATTTTATTTAATTCATTCTCCCGGCAGGTACTAATTTAATTCATTTTAATTGGCTGGTGGAGTGTCTTTGAGCTAAAATATTATGCTCAAAGGCAGCTGCGGGAAAACAGAATGGGACTGCACCTGTACTTGAAATCAGAAGATAAAAGGGAGAAAGAAAGAAACCGCTACTTGCCGCGGAGAATTCAGAAACAGACGGGGGAGACCCTTGTAAAGGAAGTACATTTCTTTCCCCTCTGATACACAAAATGATAAAACGAAAATAAATCCATGTTCCAAATCTCTGTCTTGATGCCCTTAGATAAAGATGTAATCTCGATTAGATTCCCCCCCCCGAAGTTAAAGTTGAACGATACATATATATTTTTTTAAAAAAATGGAATATCACAAGAAGAAGATGAAAGAAGAGGGCGGGGAGAGAGTCTCAGGACGGAGTAAACCTATGTACTTATTTTCCAATTTTCATCTCAACATGAAACCCCAGCATGGTGCCAGGTTTGACACAAAAGAAACAGAACAAGACTGGTCAGGGGCGGTTGGGGAATGAATTAGATTTTAGAAAGCTGATATGAGGTTCTCTAATCTCACCTCACCATCACACTAAAGCATGGTACATTCTTACTAGGTCCCTATAGTTGGATTATGATCCATACTCGTAACACTTTGCTGTATGCACACATCCCTTATTCAAGTAGGGACCGAAAGGTGTGCTTTTGGAGGCAATCTATTCAGTTCTGTTCTCAACACCATTGTCAGCATCCACATTTGCCTTAAATTTTGCTTTAGGAAAAATGTGTGTAGTATCCTTGACTTGGGAAGAGGAGGAGGAGGAGGAGATTGGATTTATACCCTGCCCTTCACTACCTGAAGGAGTCTCAGAGCGGGTTTACAATCCCATTTTCCCTCGCCTCCCCTCCCCCTGTTAGGTAGGTGGGGCTAAGAGAGCTCTTTCAAGAACTGCTCCTGAGAGAACAGCTTTGAAACAACCTGTAACTGACCCAAGGTCACCTAGATGGCTGCATGTGGAGGAGTGGGGGATCAAACCTGGTTCTCCTAGATTAGAGTCCTCACTCCTAACCACTACACCAAACTGGCTCTCCCTCAAAACAAACAAACTATTCTAATGGACATGTTTCAGGAGGGACAGGTTGTTGAGGGCAGCTGAGAATCTATTATAGGGAAAATAAGAAAGAAAATTACCCTGTTCAGGTCCCTAATAGTTTGTAGAATCCTGGAGGTAAGGAGCTAGTGGTATGGAATTTCAAAATTGCTCATTCCTCATGGACTCCAGTTTTTATATCTCAGATGCTAAGATTAGGGTTAACCAGCTCTTTTTTTAGCGGTCATGTCCCTTTTTTTGTGTGTCCATCCTCTTTTGGGCTCTTAAACTGATGAAAATTTCCTCTTTTTGAGTTGGAAGGTTAGGAATATTCCTGGCTAGTAGCAATTATCACAGCTTAAATAGTGGGGACTTTAAAGTGAGGTTTGTCATAGTGATGATCACTGGTTTGAAGTAATCAGTTGGGAAATATGTCCTCTTTATTGCTTTTCAAAATATGGTAACCCTAGCTGAGATTGGTTTTGAAGTAACATATGGGTGCAAATCAACAAGACGGAAGCAGGCCCAACTGAGGTCTTGCTGATTTCCTATGACCACATAAGGAATGCAAAACGTCCGATATCATGTTTTCTTT